GCCTTTCCTCGTCCCAGAATTCTCCTAGTCTGGTCATCCCGCCTATACTTCCTGCCTGGCTACTAGCCAAAAAAACCCAAAATGAGTGACAAATCTTTACAGGGTGCAAGACCATTGTCCCACAGCACTTTCCCTTTTTCACTTTTCAAAACAAGAACTCTGAATCTAATCTACTTTGTTTAGTTTTTTTCTCTGAGCATTATCAATAAAAAACTGTAACCAATACTCTAAACAAACAAAGACAAATATCTATAATCCATTTTTTGGGAATGTAGGCTTAGTTTTCTAGGCTACTTACTTTCTTCTGATTTGGGGTGCTGATAACATTATGGGTACCTAAAGAAAATTTAGGATTATGGTCAAGTCCTGACTGGAGTATTCTGTGAGGCTGGATCATCTCGGCCTGCAGTCTTGAGGTTCTTCTGGATGTAGAACTCAGAGGAAACTGCAGCAGAAGTGCTCTGAAACATTGGATCATCTGGGCCATCTGCTCCTACTAGAGACTTTTCAGGGGGTCTTCTTCAATCAAACCTTATTTTTCGTAACCAAGAATGAATCCACAGTCTCTCATTTCCCGTGGAAACAAAAGCAAAACCTCTTCTCCAAAGTAACATACCTTTTGACTATGCTGCAGACATAGATGTGAGTGACCTAGTTGGGGCCTAAATGAGCTCCTGGTCTACTGTGGGTGACTGACAAGTGAGCATTAGACAAAACAAAACAAACAACGAACAAACAAAAGCCTCAACCCCAACCTTTGGAAATGCAAAGTGCCCTGGATGTGGTGGTGCATGAACCTGGATGGCAATGGGAGTCAGGCTGAGAGAAGGGGAGGTCAGGAAAGGATTCTTGGAACCAATCAGACAGCTAAAGGACACTGGGGGTAGGGTGGCTTCCTAATAAAGGAAATGGTGAGTTGGTACCCGGTTAGGACAAGGAGGGTTGCAAGAGAAGGGAAAGACTGAGGGTTGACTATGATAGGCCTATTGAGAACAGAAGGCTGGAGAGCAGGGTTCACTTAAGGTCATGGGGTACAAGCAGGGTAGACTCATGGTCTAGACCGGGGAGCACTTTTGTAGGGAAACACTGGCTCTCTTCTCCCCAGATCACAGGTAGGACACCATCACGAGAGCCACAGGTGAGAAGACTTTTCCTGCCTTCCTTACTGCCCCTCATTTACAATCACCCATCCGTTTAGCAGGCATTGATTAAACTGCTCTGGCCAAGGCCTTATATGGGAGCTAGGTTTCTAAGGGTGAAGAAAGACAGTGTCCAACCCTCCCACTGTCTACAGTGCATGGAGTGCCACAGTGGGGAGATAATAGGGCAGAGTGTTGCCTGGAAACGGGGCAGCTGCCTTGTGATGAGCAACTCAAGCAGGCACCTCAATCAAAAATAAGATTTTTATAGCTATTAAGCTATAGGAACAGTTTTTAAAAATCACAGCCACTCAGTTTGATAGTTGTAGAAATCCTGTTTACTCTCTAACCTAGTGATTCTCAACCTGTGGGCCTCAACCCCTTTGATAATCCAGTATCTCCAAAAATATTTACATTATGATTCATAACAGTCGCAAGATTAAAGTTATGAAGTATCATTGAAAATAATTTTATGGTTGTGACATGCATAGATTTAACTGTTACAGTGTCTGATGCCCTCATGTTTTATTGATTTACTATCTTGGGCTTATCACGTGAGGCAGTGTTTTGCAACTCAGGTTCCCAGACCCTGGCTCCTCAACTGCTGTAGTGAGTCCTTTCTCAGTCCCACCAGCCAGCTCCCAAATAATGACATAGAGACTTCTTACTAATTACTAAAGCTCAGCCTTCGCTTAGGCTTGTTTCTAACTAGCTCTTAAAACTTAAATTAAAACATTTCTATTGATCTAATTGCTGTTATGTAGCTCATAGCTTTTCCCCGTATACATGTCCTGCTTCCTCGGTGTCTGGCTGGTGACTCTGCCTTTCTTCCTCCCAGAGCTCTCTCTATCTAGAAGTCCCACCTATACCTCCTACCTTCTTATTGATCACTTAGCTTTTTATTAAACCAATCGCAGTGACATATCTTTACATAGTGTAATCAAATATCTTGCAACAAACTGCAGTAGGGGATTCAAACTGTATTATCAGAAAATTCCTAATTCTAATTAGTTTGCTGTCTATCAGGCTTCTCAAGGTCCTAACAACTACATTCTCACTTTTGACCGAAATTCTATCATACACCAAGGCAATGCTGGTAGACTCAAGCTGGTTAGAAGTTTGGTCTGGCTGTTAGGATTTGGGTTTAGTTTTTCAACGGAAAGGGAAGCAATTATTAGTCAATAAACATAGCTTTATTTTGTACACAAATCTGCCATGGTTGTGGGACTTAAGTAGCCAAGGAGGTTCTTAGTGGCAAAAAGTTGGAAACTACTGAGCCCAGGAATCTTGATTCCAAAGGGCAAAGAACTATCTGTAATCACAGGTTTCTCTCTCTTTAAATGGGGTGCTATTTGTAACTTGCGGTTTCTTTCCCACCTACCAGTTCTTAAATAACCGCTCAGAGACTTAACATTAATTATAAATGCTTGGCCAATGGCTCAGGCTTATTACTAGTTAGCTCTGACATTTAAATTAAGCCATTTCTGTTAATCTGTGTATCTCCCCTTGGCCTCTGGCTTTACCTCATTTTCTCATTGTCTTATTTCCTCCATGGCTGGCGGTCATCTCCCAGACTCCGCCCTTCTTCTCCTGTGTCTCTGCTTGGATTTCTCCTCCTGGCTCTATCTTGCCTTGCCACACACTGAAGCATCTTTATCAACCAGTAAGAACAATATATATTCACAGTGTCCAGATAGACCATACCACAGATGCTATCACCCACATGTAACCCTAAAACAACTTGCTGCCTTCTCAGCACAAGCTAGCTCAGGTAGTTGCTGGACAGGAGGCTAGAGCTAGCTGGCTTCAGAGCAGGAGGGAAGAAATTCTGAGAACAAACAGCTTTCATAAAGAAAAGACTACAAGAAATCCCCTTGCCTCCTTTGCTCTGTTTCTAGGCTCTCCTGAAGCAGGGATTTTGAATGAATACATGTTACTCTCTGGCCACCTGACAAGCTTTATGAGCCTTATTTTAATCAATACCCATTTTACATACTGGGCTGAACAGCTAGTGAGACAAGGATCGTGAAGCCAGACACACAAGGTTCTTGCAGCCTTCAGTACTGTGTATTGCCTTCTAAGATGCATACCAGAATTAGGGCAAATCTCTCACTCTTTTTAGGATCTCATTTCCCCCCTTCGTGATAGTATTATGAATTTATTTTATTTTTTTTCACAGTATCCAAATCCAAATTTTTCTTAATATGGAGTATTGCATTTCTGATGAGAAAACAAAATAACACTCCCCCCCCCCCCCCGCTGTTAAAAATGGACTTCCCCTGGATGAATCCATCAGTAGTAGCTACCGCCTGGAAGCTGCCTAAGTGGAGTCTTCCAATGAGGCTGTTGAATACGAAGCTAGGTTCCACATTGTGTGTTATGAGCAGATGGATTTCAAAACTGAGGGAGGTGGCTTAGGTTGTCCATAAGAGAAAGAACCCTGCAAGACAAATGGTGGAAGAGGATCAAGAGCCAGGAAAAACAAAAAGCTTCATAACCGGCTCTGCATTAGTGGTTTTTCCACAGCCTTTACTTTCTAGAGTCAAGCTGTTTGTTGAAAGTCTCAAAATTCTGCTAGTCTGATTGAGTCTAAATTTCCATGTCTAATTTTTTATAAGCACGTGAGGAGTTCTGGTCTCTAGAGACAGCTCGTTTACATGATCTCTTCAAGTCCAATATTTTCGCTTACAAAACAGGAATCACTGCCTTTTTCGCAGTTGTTATTGGGAGAAGACAGAAAATACAAAATAAAATGGGGGTGGGGGCGGGTAACACAATGAGAATACAGCCAGTGTTTAAAACTGGCCCTTAACAAGTTAACCGGCTCCCTTAGGGACCCCGACTTTTCGAGGTACGCAGGGAGAGTATTCTATCCAGCTCCCGACACGGAAAAGTCAAAGCCTTTGTTGTGTGCTTCTAGAAGCCCGAGAGTCCGGTAATAATTTCTGCTCCAGTTTGGGATAACAACACTATGCGCGGCCGCTGAAAGACTACTACTCCCAGAATTCTACGCTCTGGCCGACAGCCCACCGCTTCTGGGCGGGCTGCGTGCCAGCGCCGCTCTAAGCACCACATCGTCTCGGTGCCTGGCTCCTGCGTCGCATTTTGGAACCTGGGGGCCGCTTTAGGTGTCATCTCCTTCCTGGGCCTGGCTGCGTGCACACGCGATGGAGGCCGGTTGCTGGGTGCTCGGCGGCGAATTTGAGGACTCAGTGTTCGAGCAGAGGCCGGAACGGCGGCCCGAGCCGCCCGCGCCCTACGGCGCCAAGCTCTGCGAGCCGCAGGTGAGACGGCTGGCCTCCTTGCCGCCCCGCACCGGAGCCTGTCTGCGGCGAGGCCAGCCACCGTCACTGTCTAGCCGCCCTGGAGCCGGGGCTTGTAAGCACGGCCGCCTCGCTCTCCCAGCCTCGTGGTTTCTGCGCCTCCCCCCTTTGCTCCCCTTCCCCCCTCTCCCCTGGCCAGTACGTCCCGCTGGCCGGCCCCGGCTAGTGCCCCACAACAGCTCACTGCCTCCAGCCCCGCCCAGGTGATCAACTGCGCATTCTTGCAGGCCAGCTGGCTGCTTGGAAAAATAAAATAATTTAAAGCCGGTTTTGTTCCATCGTTTCCTAGTAGGATAATGAAAATGGGATGGAGGTTTCTATATTATTGTTAAGAAGTTGGGACTGGCTAGTTAAAAGCAGTACGCGACTCGATAGTTTCTGAGTGCTGAAGCTAACTGTGGTTCAAATATCTTGTCTTGCTTGAGTCACACGGTGTTTGAAGAACAGAACCAAGTTTTCCCTACCGTGATGACTCGGAGAAGGAGAGAAACTAATTTAGCAAGCTTGTGATGAGTCTTGGTACTTAGTGAAGTGTTTTAGAAATACAGCCAAGCCATCAGAATGTGCTAACTACATTTGAGTCAACAGAATTTAGAGACAGACTTTCTTCAGCCTCAGCGGGTTTTGTTGTAAAATGGAGTAGGAGACGCTTCTTTGGGCATACAGAATGCATTTCGTCCTTTTTTGTTTTATTTCTCTGGGAGTTAAATCTCAGACTCACTTTATATGTAGGGGGTTTAAACCAGAAGAGGGAAGCGTTCTTAGAGGCAGGTCTTGAGATTCTCCCGAGTCTGTCTGGGGTGCCCAGACCCCTCTTTCCTTTGCTTGGATTCTCTGTGTGCCAGTGTGACGTTTTCACCACAGCACCGTCGCCATAACCACAACCTCGCGTGGCTTGTGCACAGGATTGCCAGTCCCTTTTCACTTCGTTCCTCTAAAAGAAAACAGGTAACACTTTATATTTTTGGTTGTGAGCCTAGCCTTTAACAGCTGAGCCATCTCTCCAGCCCCAGATAACACTTTAAAAGTCCTTGGCACCATACAGGATGTGGTTGAAAATGTGTGTGCTTTTTTTCCTTTTCTTTATTTCTTTTTTCTTTTCTCCCAACTTCTGTCACCAGAACCCACACGATAGAAGGATAGAACCGACTTCAGCAAAGAGTGTCCTGACCTCCACAAGTGCACTGTGGCATGGATCTAACCTCACATATATAATAAATTAAAAAATGTTTTTAAAAAGTCGAGCCATCCTTAAGATTGTCATTGGTGGCTGGGGGGGGCGGGGCTCAGTGGGCAGTGTTTGATATGAAGCCTGCAGACCTGGGTACCCGTGTGAAAAACTGAGTATGGCAACCGGTCCTGGAAAGTGGAGACAGGAGCATCCTGGGGCTTGCTGGCAGCCAGTCTAGCCAAATGGCAGGCTCCAGGTTCAGTGAGAGACCCTGTCTTGAAATAATAAGATGGAGACTGATGGAGAAAGACAAATGGCATTGATTTCTGGCCCTTCCACCACCCAGGCAGAGCATCCACACACCTGCACACACACATATACTGCACATACAACTGCCTGCCATTTGGTCTGTGTGGTCATGTCTGTAATCTCAACACTTGGGGTGCAGATAATGAGACCCTGTTCCAAAAACCAAATAAAATATAGCCACTCTGTGTCCACTGTCTTCTCTTGAGTCTCATCCTGAAGCAATCTGTCCTTGGCAGTTAATAGTTGTATTATGGGAGTTGCTTTTGATCACGAAGTGGAAAAGCCTAGCTTCGCTCTTCCTCATAAACGCCATCTTCTTGATTTCTAGTGGTTTAATGGAGAGATGGAGAGTGGCGATGACTCCGAAGTTCTCACTCTCAAGAAATTTAGAGGGGACCTGGCCTACCGACGACGGGAATACGAGGTGGGAGTCAACACACGCCAGACTACGATGGTTGTGATGGGTGCTTGTTCTACTAAATCGCACGTGTAACGAGCATGTGCCAAGGTCGGAGTGTGCTCCGTGGAGAGGGAGTTAGTCTTCCGTGATGCCTGTAGATGATCTTAGGAGCCTAAGTCTTGGTCTTTTCTATGGGGTCCATACTATGTTTTTTTTTTTTTTATAATTCCAACCAAAAAATATTGGGAGTTCCTATCTGTCTGCTTCCCCAGGCTTTATATGGACTCATGTGTGACCCTCCAGTGCGTCACAGGGACAGAATACCCCAAAATGTACAGGAAAAGGGAAGAATGAGCAATTGGATTCCAGAGTGCTTCACATATATGTCCCATTTCATATTATGTAAATATTAATAAGGTATATAACTGGGCCTTGTGGTATATGCCTTCAGTCACAATGCTTGGGAGGTGGAGGCAGAGGCAGGTGGATCCCCGTGAGTTCATGTTCAGATTAATTAACCTATACACACACACACACACACACACACACACACACACACACACGTGTCCCAGTCAATCCAGGACTCAACACCTATTCTGTTTGCCTCTATAATGTACTAGCTCTAATACTGTGATACTTACCATAGTTGTAGACATTATGTCCCGTAGCCATTCTGTCTCTGCCTTTTAGAAAAACAATAGTCCTGGTTGAAACACTTAGGTCTCCCGTAGGTCATTGGAGGGGTCGGTTATAATACTTTCTGCACAGGGAACGGTCATCTCTGCACTAGATTCTCTCCCCACCCTCTTTATCCTTCCCTTCTTTCTTCTAATAATTGCCAGAAAGCTCTGCGGGAATACTCCAGCATCTCTGAACAGTTGCCATCTACCAATTTTGCCATGAAAAGGGATGTCCAGGAAGGCCAGGCTCGGTGTCTGGCTCACCTGGGGAGACACCAGGAAGCGCTGGAGATTGCAGCAAACTTGGTGAGTGTCTCCGGGGACATCAGCGTCCTTTACTCCCTGAAAAGCAAACTTCCTGCTAAAAGCAGAATTGAGAGCTGGGATTACAGAAGGAAACTATCAGCAGTGTCATTCCTGACCTGAAGCTCAGAGCTTCAATAATAGATGTGCTTGGAATATTCTTCCTTTGCTAAGATGAGAATTATTGCTTAGAAATCTTATTTTTATAAATTTTATTTTTATGAGGCATATATACTCAGAGTGGTAGGATTATGAGTGAGTTTTTTTTAGATTTTTTTCAAAGGTATATTTTAAATTTTAATTATGTGTTTATATATGTGTTGGGGTTCAAGTGTGGGGTATGAACATGGAGGGCAGGTACTGAGGAGCCTAGAGACACTGGATCCCCCGGGAGCTGGAGTACAGCTGGTTGTAAGCTACGCAGTGTGGGTACTGGGAACCAAACCTGGGTCCTCTGCAAGAGCAACAAGAGCTCTTAACCACTGAATCGTCTCTAGTTCCCATTGTTCAAGTTTTAATCCCTGAAACACATTCAGATGGAATTTAATGTACAAAGAGGGACATACCTACTATGCCATCAAACCCTTATTGGTTTAGCATACCAGTTGTCTTAGATAGGGTTTCTATTGCTCTGAAGAGACACCATGACCACGGCAAATGTTTTCCTCTTGTAAAGGAAAACATTTCATTGGGTGGCTTGTTTACGGTTCAGAGGTTCAGTCCATTATCATCACGGCTGGGAGCATGGCAGCGTGCAGGCGGACATGTGCTGGAGAAGGAGCCAAGAGTCCTATGTCTTGGAGGCAACAGGAGGTTGTCTGAGGGTCTCACTGAGTAAAGCCTGAGCAGGAGAGACCTCAAAGCCCGCCTCTGCGTGACACACTTCCTCCAGCAGGGCCGCACTCCCCAGTAGTGCCCTCCCTTTGGGGTTAGGGGGCCAATTATATTCAGATTACCACACCAGTAAACTTTATTAATCATGTTATCTAAATCATAGTCTAGAGCCCAGAATACTGATGAGTGTTTGTAATTGCAACACTCAGAAGGTTGTGATAGGAGCATCACAAGTTCAAGGCCAGTCAGTCTAGGCTACACATATATACATACGTACCCTGTTTAAAAAAAGTGTGTCTGTGGGGGGATCACGGCCTGTGTGTGGCACCTACTTCACGCTAACATACAGCTGCCTTCCCAGTGGCAACGTAGTTTGAATAATAGAGTGCATTATAGACAGGAGCTGAAGGAGATTGTTCAAACATGTTCTTATTACAAATAAAATAAAGGGCATAATTAAAATACTGTTTTTCCATGTTGTTTATTTACTTAGAGGAGGTCAGAAGACAACTGGAAGGAATTAGTTAGTCTGTCCTTCTACCGTGTGATTGCCAGGGGTTGACAACTGGAGGGAATTAGTCTGTCCTTCTACCGTGTGATTGCCAGGGTTGAACTCAGGCTTGGCAGCAGGCACCTTCACACACTAAGCCAGCTCAGAAAGGCACAGCCTGACTTTAGAATCATTGTTCAGCAGTTAGGTAACATCTGTGCTAGACGTATACCGTAACTCAGGATTGAACCCAGGGCTCTTAGTGGCCCTTCAAGGAAGGGAAAACCGTAAGCAATAGAAGTAGTTAAAGCAAGGCAGGCTGGTGTCACCAAATAAGTTAGGTGGGTCTGTTTCGTGGCTTCCCTCTCAGCATAGGAATGCTCCTAGAACTCAGCCGGCTTCCACTTCCTGCGGTAGTGTTTCCTGTGGAGCGCGGACTGGGTAGTTTGGCCTCTGACACTCGGTTTGGTTCTGTGCAGGAATGTGACCTGGACAGGCTGGCCTTCCCTTAGATCTCACATCAGGTCGAAGGTAGTTTCACTCTGCCGTCTGCTCTCTGCTGACTAACTTGGAAAAAGTGGACCCTTTTCTGTAACCCACAGGGCATTTGCTGTATGGCAGGGTAGGTGAGAGATGATGGCTCTGGAGGAGACTCTGAAAGGAAGTCAGAAGGAAGCGGAGCACCTCCTGCTGCCATGGTCAGCAGGGAAGGCATTTGGGTTCAGTAACAAGCTGAGAGCTTCAGAGTTGTCCTGAGTAAGAAGTCCCAAGCCAAGTCAAAGATACGGATGGGATTTCTTCAAATCCTCAAGGAAATTACCTTGGGGTTTAAAAACCCTGAAATGTTAAAATGAAACCATTAGACCAGTACCTAGTAAGAAAGTCCACGTCAGACCTCATCACTGTAGCAGACATGACTCAGCAGGAGTGATGTGCTCAGCGTATGGTTTCAGAGTCCGCTCTCCGTGGCCACTGGCTCTGTGTCTCTGGGCTGCAGTGAGGCTGTGTGAAGCGATGGAGGGGGTCACTGAGACGACGGCCTCTTCTGGCAGCCAAGGCAAATGTGGGGCAGAGTTGCTAGCAGGCTCTCTTTTCTCATTTCTCCATATAGGAAGCCAGCTTATGAGGTCTTCCCCACCTAAGTAGTACAGTCTAGAACTGTCCTTAGATGCTCCAAGTGCTGTGACTGAGCATCACAAGTTCAGCCCTCGTCAGCCCGACGCCAGATAACCAGAGCAGGACTACGATGAGAGTTGAACAATCCGTGGCGTTTATATTTTTGGTGTTGAGCATTGTCAGGCCACTTACACATGTGTTGCTGCGTTATGGCACTGGGTTTGAAAGAAAATGGCCCCCACAGGGAGTGGCACTATTAGGAGGTGTGGCCTTGTTGGAGGAAGTGTGTCACTGTGGGAGTGGGCTTTGAGGTCTCCTATGCTTAAGCTACGCTCAGAGTTGCTTCTGCTGTTTGCGGATCAAGATGTAGAACTTCCAGCTTCTTCTTCAGCACCTTGTCTGCCTGCATGCCGCTCTGTCACCCACTATGACGATAATGGACTAAACCTCTGAACTATAAGCCAACATCAATGAAATGTTTTCCTTTATAAGAGTTTCCATGGTCATGGTGTCCCTTCACAGCAATAGAAACCTTAGGACAGGTATCTAGGAGTTTCTGGGGACCATTTGGTGAATTGTTTTCTAGGCTTATGGTTTGATATTTGTGTGTACATGTGTGCACATTTGTGCGTGTGCCAGGTAGTCACAGCGTTCATATGGAGTCTGTTTTCTTTTCCACCATGTATGTTTGAGGGATCAAGCTCATTTTATTAGATTTGGCTGCAGATACCTTTATCTGCTGAGCCCTGTTACTGGCCCTAGGTTATGGTTTAAAACACAAAGTCTGTGGAAATATTAAGTTCACTTGGCCCATTTAGCACTTAAGAACTTCCAATTTATAACATATGCAACTTGGGCTTTTAGGTGCTTTTGTTTTTATATGAAAACATTTTGTAGTTAAGAGTTTTTGTTCCTTTTCTTAGGAAAATAAAGCAACCAACACGGACCATCTCACCACGGTGCTCTATCTCCACTTGGCTGTTTTTTCCAGTTTGCAGAGTTTGGAGAAGACAATTCTGTGCCTACAAAAACTGATTTCCCTGCATCCCCTGAACCCTTGGGGCTGGTGGAGATTGGCAGAGGCATACCTGAGTCCAGGGCCAGACCTGTGTACGTCATCTTGGGGACAGACAAGTGACCCCTCGAGTAACAAAGCCATGGCTTCCTCCACTGTGCACTCTGGAACAGACCGTCTTTTGTGCTTCCCAGCACCCTTGCCTGAGAGTGCAGTGCTTTCTGTGGAAGCAAGTGACTGTAAGACTAAAAAGAAGGCTGAAAAGGCTCCAAAGAATACGCAGAACTGTCTGGCACAACGGAGAGAGGCAGCTTGGATGGAGGCTCGGGTGAAAGCATGCGCCTCTCTGATTCGCTCCAGGTAAGCCAAGAAAGACTACGTCAGCACACAGGATACGGTTGGAGAAGGGTGGGTTTTGTTTGAAGGGAGGAAAGACTTGTTTGTTTAAGTTAATTTTTAAGGTTGGCATCCTTGGTATGTAGGGAATGAGGAATCCCATACAAGGCTGGTGAGCATTTAGACTAGAGCAGCCACTTAGAAATCAGTATGGGGTTCCAAAAATAATATAATAAAACCAAGCAGGAGCCTGGTGTGCTTGCCTTTAATCCCAGCATTCGGGAGGCAGAAACAGGTAGATCTCTGTGAGTTTGAGGTCAGCCTGGTCTATATCGAGAGTTTCAGGACAGCTGGGGCTATGAAGAGAGACCCTGTCTCAAACAAACAAACAAATCTACCCTAAAACAAAAGCCAAAAATAAAGCTACCATATGACCTATCTGTGGCATATATCTGAAGCACTCTGAACTTACATGCCCCAAAGATACTTGGACATCCATGATACGCACTGCTCTATTACAGTGATTAAGAAGCTGACACGATGGTTTCTAATGTTCTGTTGTTACAAGAAAGCTCCATCATTGGGGAAATGAATACTAAGCCACAATAGTACACAAATAAATGTTAAAACATTTCATAATACTATTGGTATAGACTTGGAATCCCAGCACTTGGGAGCCTGAGCCAGGAGGATCATGAGTTTAAAGCCAGCCTGAACTATGTAGTGAGACCCCGACTCAACTGAACAAAGTCTCATAGTTGGGGGCTTGAGGGAGGACAGGTTAGACCTCTGAAGAACTAAGGCAGCGGTCACTGAAGAAACCTTCCCCTGCACTTGTAGATTGGAAACCCCAGTCCCATGTGATGGGAGTCAGCACAGGGAAAACAGCCAGTGCCACCCTAGGAGCGTCGGGAGGTGGTGGAGGCAGGAGGCAAACGTTGCCCAGTGGTCAGTGCCCTGTCTTGAAAGAAACAAAAAGCAAATAAAATACAGCTCTTGTTGTTACTCCAGATAGAGTGTTCAGATTGGAAACAAAGTCTGCGATGAGCAATTAAAATGCACACATTTCAGAGGGAAAGAGTCGTTTCTACAGAAGGGCTTTCTTGTTTGTATCTGGCAAAAATCTGAAGAAAGCCTGCTCTTGCACTCAGTGTTAATAATGAGCACACAGTGCTTGGTGCACAGTACATAGTGCTTAGTGCTTAGTTCATGCCACAGAGCCTTCCTGTGCTAGCTTCTGGGGACACCAACTACTTGGGATCCTTCCAATATATGGATTTGAGAGAAAGGGAAGAAGGAACGTCTTTGACCAGGACTGTGATTTGTCAGTGAAGAAGCAGACACTGGTGAGCACAGATGTTTTTGCTTAATTCTGGAGAATCCATTTAACTAAGAATTAGAAAAAAATTAGCAGATGCCTAATTATCATTGACTGTCACTTTTGTTCTTTGTTTTGTGCACAGAGTCTCACTATGTAGACTTGACAAGCCTCACTTGTGTAGACCAGGCTAGCCTCAAATTCATAAAGATCTACTGCCTCTGCCTCCCAAGGGCCGGAATCAAAGATGAGTGCCACCATGCCTAGTGACTATGCCACTTTTGTTCAGAAGCACATATGCCAGGCACCTGCTTGGTGCAAGGTTCTTGGTGCAAGGTTCATAAAGATGGTTTTAAAAAAAAAGCAAAGCAAAGCAAAACAATAAAACCAAACCAAGAGTCTCTTTCCTTGCTTCAGTCACTGTGTTGAGGAAATTATACATGTAGCCCGTGACTGGCACACAGCTGCCGAGGGCTGCGTCCTGGTGTGAGCAGAATACCACGGAGACCAGCCGGAGGGAAGAACCAGCCTTTTCCAGGGCTGTGCTCCTCTGAGCGATCCTGGGGAGGAGTGCTCAGCAGCCGGCCACCAAGCACAGGGCGCACTGTGCAGTTCTTTCATCCTGCTCCCCCTGACTCTCTGGGCTGCATGTTGGGATCGGTTTCTGGCCCCACAGCCCCGCACCTGTGCAGTCCGTGGGTCCTGGTGCTGTTGTGGTCCCCCATGAGCTGTTCCTCAGGTGAGGAAGGGGTTGCTCTTGTGAGACAGAGAGAAAACTCAGCTAGGAGACTTAGAGGAGCAGTCACATGGCTGGCGATGTCTTAGGGTTCTATCACCCATGAAAAGATACCATGAGCACGGCAACTCTTACAGGGTCAGAGGTTTAGTCCATTATCATGGCAGGAAGCATGGCGGCACACAGGCAGATGTGGTGCTGGAGAGAGCTCAGAGTTCTACTTTCTGAGCAGGAGAAAGAGAGAGACCCTGGGCCTGCTTGGATTTCCAAAACCTCAGAGCCCACCCCCAGTGACACAATTCTTCCAATAAAGCCATATCTACTCCAACAAGGCCACATGTCTTAATCCTTTCAAATAATTGCCTCTCCCTATGATCCTGACCACATGAGCCCGACTATTCTGCTGGCCAGCTGTTTGGCCTTGTACAAATTACATAAACTCTGGGCCACATGTTCCTCATCTTGACAGAAGGAGGAACGGTGAAAATGCCTGCTGCTTGAGGGTGTGGAATTAAAGTTATCTAGTGTACCTAGTGCAGTGCACGGTCTGAAGCAAGGAATTGGTGAATGCTACTAGCTGTTGGTGAATGCTAGCTGTTGGTGAATGCTGGCTATTGGTGAATGCTAGCTATTAAGCATTTTCATTGTGTTTGGTTTTTATTAGCTTAAGACTTTTCCCTTTTTGTTCCTTGGTTGATTTTGAGGCTCACCGGGTAGTCAAGGTTGTCCCGGAGCTTGGATGCCTTCGTCTTCAGCCTTTCCAGTGCAAAGGCCATGCCATGCGCTGCCACCCTGGCTTAGGTGTCATTAAGATTCAGTCCTGTTCTTGAAGGCCCAGCGAGTATTCATAAGCTTTGAATTGGAGTGTGAGCAGAGGTGGGGGTGGGGGTGGCTAGAAGTGGCCATTTGGGACTTTGGACAGCAGTGGAGAGGCAGTGGAGAGGCAGTGGTCATCAGTGATGGGATCTGACCTGGACTAAGGCAGTGGTAATAGCAGTAGAACACAGTGTCATTACAGAACAGGTGGGACTTGGCGACCAGCGACTATATGGGAAGCATGGGGATGGGGAGGAGGAGACTCCCAAGAGTGCCATGGGTGCAGAGGTGGCTTGGATGCTATTTGCTGAGATGGAGCATACAAAAGGGTAGGCAGGGCAGATCAGGGTCCAAGGAAGAATGACTTCATCTTGATGTACTGAAACCTGGGTGCCCGTGGGACATCCAGCCCGAGCTCCCCATTAGAATGGGGAGTTGAGCTCTGAAGAAGGGATGAATGGCTGAAGAGACCAGGTTAGGATCCCTGGGGACATCCATAGTAAGGCCGTTGTGAAGTGGTTGTCAGAGGTTTGGTCCTGTTTTGGTATTCAGGTGTGCCAGCGAAGTTAAGTAGTCCTTGGGGTTCAGTTTCCGTGGAGTCAGAGATGTCAGCACCTGGGAACAGATCCAGGACAGAAAGCTTTTCTCAGTCAGTTGTTTTTGCTTTCAGCTGCCTGCCTGCCTGCCGACTTTCCTTATTGTTTTTGAGATAAAGACTCACTGTGGACTCTGCTACCCTCAGACTTGAGATTTGCCCCAGTCCCTTGAGTTCTAGTCTTTGTTTTAGAATAAGATGTAAAGGGAGGCAGCTTATTCAGAGTTGAAGTCTAGGGACTCGGGGATGGTCCTAGTGAAGCGTGCAGACTCACAGATGCCGAGTGCCTGACTCTGCTGCCCTATGGCAGAGCCTCTTACGCCGAGACTTTCTGGTTTTTCAGGCTCTTGCTTCAGCTCACCCAGTCTCAGCAAATGTCATTTGCTTTGGAGAGGAACCTGAGGACTCAGCAGGAAATTGCAGAGAAAGTGAAGAAGCTCAACTTCCCTGCAGATGCTTTGCTGTTGATGGAAGAGGTGCGTATCCTGGGTCTATGCAGAGCAGAGCCTTGTGCTGACTTGCGCTGTTCCCACACCAGAGCAGGTCCAGACCTCATCTCCTCCTGGAGGACTTAGGTGTCCCTTCATTGTGTGCCTTTGGGTTGCCCAAGTCATCCAAGTGGCCCTTTATCATCATTCCCCTGCTGTATATCTCTTTTCTTGTTCTTGCCAACGTTCATTAGTGTAAATGGAGACTGCTCACTTGTTTCCCAGCCGCCTAGACCCAAATAAGTACACAGAAACTATATTAATTACAACACAATTTGGTCTATTAGCTCAGACTTCTTATTAACTAACTCTTACATCTTAAATGAACCCATTTCTATTATTTTATATTTTACCACAAGGCTTGTTATCTCTTGCTTCTCGGGCAGGTACATAGTGTCTGTCTCCTTTGGCAGCTACCTGGTGTCTCTTTGACTCTGCCTACTCTTTCTCTATATATCTCTTCCATCCTGGCTATATTCTGCCCTGCCATAGGCCAAAGAAGCTTTATTCATTAGCCAGTAAAAGCAACAAATATACAGAAGGACATCTCACGTCACATTAGCGCCTGTCCACTTGAGCATCCTAAGTGACATGTTAGCCATCTGTCTGGGGTTTCTTGGGACCAGACACTGTCGAGTGTACGGAAAGGAAGCAGAAGCGCTTGAGCACATAGTCTCCCAATGCATCCTTCAACAGCATTCTCTACAAAAGCCAGCTTTAGAAAGGGCCGACAGGGGCTGAAAAGTGACATTTTCATTTCTCTGTAAACATCCAGGAAGTGACAGGGTGGACAGAGCAGAGAAAACACTTTTCACATCTGGCCCACACAGTCTGTCACTGTTTTAACCTCAGGGAGTCACAGCCTCTCTAAGCCTCAACTCCAGTTCTGCCCCTCTTGACTGGCTGTTAGAATGAGTGGAGGGAAGGCACATAAAACTGCACAGATACGGACACTGATCCGCTAGTTAGAGTAGCCATGGACACTGGTCCGCTAGTTAGAGTAGCTGTGGACACCTGTTCACTAGTTAGAGTAGCTATGGACACCTGTTCACTAGTTAGAGTAGCCATGGACACCTGTCCACTAGTTAGAGTAGCCATGGACACCTGTCCGCTAGTTAGAGTAGCCATAGACACCTGTCCGCTAGTTAGAGTAGCCGTGGACACCTGTCCGCTAGT